ACTTCCTCACAACACTATTTACTTACAGTAATCAGCTTCAGAAATTTCCCGAGTCCACCACAGTATCTGTGCAGATGTCAATGGGATCTTTTTAACAGCAATTTCTCCAAATCCCTTCAAAACCTGATATGAAGTCACAGCACCCTCTACATCCCCTGACAATGAGTTCCACAGCCTTTTATTAAGTATCTAAATAAGTAATTACTTTCATCTGATTTTGAAACCCTTACCTGCTTGGAGCACTCACCTAGTGTCCCTTAACTTGTACTAGAAGAATGAAAAGTCATTTCCTCTTCACCCTCTTACATTCATTTTGGACAGCACTGTTACACTCACTCCTCACTTCTCTCTTAACTAAGATGAGAAGATTAAACAGTCCTAGCTTATTTAGATGTTCCTCATATGGAAACTATTATATACCTTCATTGTATCTTCTCCATTTCACAGACAAACTTTCCACCAACATGATCAAGCTCAAAGAAGCCAGACAAACATAAAAATAGTTATGGATACCATGTGAACATCTGTAAGATGTATTGTGATCTGTTTTCACAGAAGCTCAGAGACAATCACTGTCTATGTCACACAAATTTACCTACACTCCGATCTTCAGTCTACGCTGCTTAAGAGATCAGTTAAGCTTATGGCTAAACTATTTGCAATTTCCAACACATGAGTAATCACCAAAGGTTACCGTATGTCTTTTAATAACATGCCCAAGTACTGGATTTAATCCTTTTCTACACTGAAGAGCATACAGGCATTATTTCACAAAGTAACTTTTTAAACACAATTATTTGGGGAATCCTAAATGCTAACAGTCCTGCACACATACGAGTCCTCCTCTTTCTGCTTTGCATATACAAAAAAAGCAGCAAGAGTAGATGAAAATCAGATGACTAGATCCAATTCCTTCCTTTTACTGAAGCATATCAGAAAAGCCGATAACTTGCAAGTATGAATTGAAAAGCATATGAGCATTATTCCTTTGTTTTCTGACACTACAACGATGTATACGCTATAGTTCTACAAGTTTCAAAGGAGTTTAGAATACTGAAATTAAACAACGTGAGCAAAAAAAGCATCCATTGTTGTTTCATGGCCTGCAGAGTTCCTTTTTGTCAGTTTAAGTGTCTGTCTTAGTAACAAATCTACTGAAAAAATATCTAGCTGAAGTATTTCTGCTAAATTTCGTAAGTTTTAGATAGGATCAAATAACTTGGTTTGATACAGCTCTACTGTAAAGGACAAACACACGTTGCGAGGCTGCTCACCAACTGAATCAACTCAAAAGAGTTCAGATTTTAATGACGACAGAGGTTCTGTATCATGAAGGTTCCCGAAGCTTCACAACATAAATCCTGCTGACTTGAATTCTTGTACACTATGCAGCTGAAACTGAATTTAAAAGAAGGATCTTTAAAGAAAGTTATGCACTGCTTATGCAATGTCATGTCATATCCAGATTTAAACACTCCTCTATTCCTGAAAGAGGACAGACGCAAGCAGTAAGAGGAAGCGCTCATGAAACAACATTAACAAGAATTATACTTAAGCTCTAGGAGACTTTAAAGCAACACAATAAAAACAAAGCATGCCCAGAACAAGCATGCCCAATCTAAAGCAGCAGACCGTGTGACTGTCTTAAACAATAAAGCCCTACTTCTCCCTTTAAATAAAGTTGCTGTTGTTGGAGATTAGTCTAAGACATAAGCCTTGCATGACCTCATTACATTTTATTTCATGAACTTGGGAAAAAGCAAAGAATTTGTTCTTGCCTGGAAGTGGAAAAGCAGATCTACAAGAAAGAAAACTAAAAACTACTACAGCATGTAGCACTTGATCAAAAGCATGTAATAAATTCCCAACCTATCATCTTTCACTTAAATAAAGCCCTTCTACAACACATTGTGGGTCCCGAGATAGCTCCATCCACAGCGGTTTCCACACATTTGCTTTTCTGCCTGTTGTTTACTCTTTCCTGTCTAGTTTCTAGGTAACTTCTGGGAAAACACATGCAAGAATGAGTTTCAAGTGACAAGAATTTTGCAAGTACAAAGAAAAATGTTAGCACTAATAATTTTCAACCACTAAGTAATAACTTGAATAAATCCTAAGCCTGTTTGCCAATATTAACAAACAGATGGCAAAACAGATCAATACAACACTGTGGAAATTCCAGAGAGGACAACAAAACTGTCAGATGTCTGAAGCAAATAAGCTACCGAGAGTTTTACGTACATTATTGATGACTGCTATGAACTTTTTAAAAGAAAAAACCCCAAAGCTCCCAAATATACTTCACTGTATAAATACGAATTTTACTTCCACACATTAATGCGCATTCAAAAGAAGCTTTTGAAAATAGTCCGAGGGCTCCCTCTTCTGACACCACATTGGACAAGCTGTAAAACTGGTCAGTCTGTACATGTCAGGGTATGTTGTTTTGGAAAAAAAATCCTGGTTCACATACATGATATTTATGTCCCATTAGTTAAGAAAGCTGAAAGTGTTTTAATCTTAAAGGAAAATAAACTTATGCCCAAGAAACTGGTCATTATTGTTATTACAAGGAAACTGATCTGATTCTTACAAGTAGGATTTAAAAATAATGCACATTTTGACCATGTAACTTGGAAGGAAACTACCTACAATAGGAAACACAAAGCATTCAACATATTAATAGATAAGGTGAGCTGTGTCCAGAATCAGAAGATAAAATAACAAATGGCACTTACAACTTATCAAGCACAGACCTATTGAAATAATATCTGAATACAGTTGCCTTAAATGAATCACTAAAATAGACACCATTAGATTTGTGGACACAGCTCCCATCTAAATAAGACCACAGAATTCCTGGTTAAGAATATACTGGAAGTCAATAGCGTCCAAGAATATAAATAGGTATTTGAGGATCACAGACTCTGTTTTAATCTTTTTCCTTCAATTTGTGACTATCTCCCCTTCTGTAGAGCCACTGCCCGTCCCCCTTCAGGCTGATTACTCAAGCCAGCTTTCCTTTCAACCAACCCTCTCAACTTCTGCTGAGCCACTGTCACCTGAAACAGTTCCCCTGTTCCCTCAAAACCATGAGATAAACCAGTAAACACACAAGCCAATGGTAAGCCCTTCATCATTAACTCCCAAACTTCAAAAGCTCTATTTCACTACAGCTGAGTACATTTAGGTCATTTCCACAGAGGATCTGAACTTTTCACTCAATAGCTGCTCATCTAAGCAGACTGCAGTCTTTGAAAGCAGATGTCTTGTTAATTTACAGAACTTAAAGAGTTCACACATACCTTAATAACAGAAAAGATTTAAACATCTCTCTACAAGATGTATCCCCCCCACATGCTCTGTTCACTAAATTCAATATATTCAGTAAACAAAGCCAGGGTAAGATTTTGCTCCTATGAACTAGAAGGAGCCACTGTCTTACAGTACTTTACTGTTCCTTACTTAATATACTGCTGTGCACTCTTTACCTTGGTCAAAAATTCACATGAAACAGCTCTCCTCCCTTCATCTGAGAACCTCAAAGAAATCATTATTCCCAGGTGACAGAAATTGCCTTTTCACTCAGTGATGACACATGGTTTATTTCCCTATTGTTCCTCACTTCTCTGGAGACAGCTGATATTACTTACTCTCCCTAGCTGATGATCTCTGAATCTAACCAACCATAGTTTCTGAACTTCCAGGGGCATGATATGAACGTACCAGGACAAGCTCAGTTGCATTTGTAGCAATACAGTGCAAATCTGATTTGTTCCGGAATCAAGATATTTTAAATAAATAGTTTGCTTGCACTTTAAAACATTCTAATAATTTAAATATGTAATTTTTAATAACACAAGATTAAATAGTTGAACAGGCCAAATTAATTTTGGTTAGTACAAAATTCAATGGAAGCAGCCAGATGTCCACAGCCTACTATCCAGCTGTGACAGCCTGAAAAAGAGACATCCCACAGAGGAGAGGAGGGAACAATAAACAGGCAAGATGGGTGACCACAGTAGCTCTCATGGCTAGCAAACACAATACTGCGGGTATTTTTATACGTACCTTCTGTCAGCAATAACAATACTGCTTTGCATACAAAACAAAACTAATTCTGTAAAATAGCAGACCCTACACCCAATGGAAACAAGCAATAGAAAGCACAGTTCCTCTGATCACATGATTTAAGTAGATACCTATTTTAAACACACATAACTAACAAAATTAACTTCAAATCAAATTTAGTTTTCACTAAGCCTTAATACAGCTTTGCAAGTCCCTTCCAAGAAAACAAGCATACTTGTTTTAAAAGAACTTCTGGGTCGGTGGAAGAAAAATACAGTAATTTCTATTGCATCTCATTTAATCTCCCATACTACTTCAATTAGCCTAGCTTCTGAGTATCAGTCAGGATGTACATTAATAGTAGTCCAGCTTATACTTGCCACATACTACTCATTTTTCTTTTCCATCCTCTTACAGGACGGTAACACAAAGTCACAAAAAACAACCCAATCTTTCACAGGCTCTACCGTTTAAATTAATCATCTCAGCATACAGCAAAATTTTACTGCTAGACCAGCAAAGCACAGTCTATGCAAACACCACTGCAATATAGCACTAAAGTTGTTTAAAGAAGGAAAAAGAGAGCAACACTTTTTAAAACAAGAAACCATTATACCCAAAACATTAATTTAGTTTATTAATAAATCTGGTTATCATAAGACAGAGAAAAGGCATTTCTCACCTTACCTTAGTAACCTTAGTTGTTACTGAAGCACCCAAATTACCTGCTTCAGATTTAAAATTAATCCAGTTTATAAATTACAATTATCATTTCAACTGAAGTTACCGGTCAAGTAATTGTCCGCATAGATTATGATTGCAAAATCTTTACTCTTGAAAACGGATTTAAGCCAAAACCATTGAGATGTATAGACAAAGTAGTCACGCATACTTTACTTTTCTTCCTATTTTCAATCAACTTGGTTTACCTTCTCACAGAAGTCGGTAAGAGCAGTGAAGTCCCATTTCTTGGAATAAGCAACGTTGTATCTCAGTATAGCTTCCTAGGAAAGAGCACAACAAAATAAAGCTTAGAGATACTTTTTTACAGAAGAAAAATTCTTTTAGGAAGTTTCCTTTTTAAAGGAACAGCACCATCTAGTGGCTAAAGCCTGCCAAAATCCATAAACTGTATTACTATGGTGTGACCTCATGCTACTGAATCCTGTATTTTAGCTTTAGCATTGAATAAGCTTTAGTCTATAGGTTTTTCCTCCTAGCACAAAACAAGATAAGGCATGTCTGGATCTGCCTACAACACACAATGTAAATGTTCCCCACCCCACGCTTGGTCTCTAAAAATTCAAAAAAACTGTCCCTCAGCAATATAGCAGAAGTTTTACAGGTTTACAAACTTAAAGAATCAGAACCACGACAAAATTAAGCAGGTCCTTTACAACAACAACAACCTTTAAAAAATTATCAAGAAAAAAATACCGAATAAAATAGTATTATCAAGGGAAGTTTCAATAGCTGCTGGGGGAGCACCATTTATTCATCTGAATTTTATATGTAGCCTTTGCATCTTCTTCGTTCTCTGCCTTTCAAGTATAATCTAAATTACATTATTCTTCACAAAAAACATACTAGTAATTCCAAGGTGCTCCAAATCACAATCCATTAAAAGCCAATGAGAACCATTAAGAGTTATCAACAGAACATTAGCCTCCAAAATTTAGATTTTGATCAGCACCTTGAGTGGTTGCAATTTTAGTGGAGTATACTGGTGTGAAGAGCTCCCAATTCAAGGTCTCTCACTTGTGTGGTGCCCTGCTGCCTGGTTACAGAAAAAGGCTGCATGCTACATTTACCTCAAACTAGTAGATACCGCAGGACAAACACAGTTTTGTGTTGACTTATAAAAGACAATCAGTTTTAATCATGCCTAACAAGATTAATGGTAACACTCATTAATTAAAACCCTTAATTCATTAGGGAATGCCTTGAACAGCATAGATTTTTTTTTTTTTAATTTCTTTTTGTAAGTGATTAAATAGAACTGAGCCAGAATCAGTAACAGTACATAGAGAGCCTGAATGTACCTATATGCATACAGACTTGATTTCAAATTGACAAGCTTACCTTCAAATCATGCGAGCAAGTAAATTTGTTAAGTAAGGCAGTTTGGATTAGTTCCCATCTACTTCCAGCAGTTCTATCTCCATTCTTTAAAACAAAAGCCCAAACCAAAGTCAGATTAAGTTACTCAAAGCAGAAAAACATATTTACTAATAATTGTCTTCCTTGCCACTGTGCTTTATTTGTGAAGTTATTTAAAAATAAACCAAATATTTTGAGTAACTGTAAAGTACTTCTGCAACTTCCAGTCCACTGCATTTTGCTTCCTTAGGAGGAAAATTAATAAAATTCATAAAGAGCTCTTTTTCACACATAGAGCGCTCTTCCTCATGTCATCTCAATAAGGACAAATAATGTTCAGTACACCCCTTGTGAAGAAGGTGGATTTTGCAGATAAAAGGTGACCATAGTTTATAAAATCTGCAACTCAAAAATATAAACTGCAGCAACTTTATAAAAATGTAGTAAGAACAACAAGGGCACAGATTATAAGAGCATATTGCTGTGGCTGATTCTTGTACCAGCCCAAATTTAAGACATCCTGGGATATTTTTCCTCAACAGAAAGCCTTATTGCTCATTGAAAGCAATAGTACTTCTTATGAGACTACTGCAAGGGCAGGAACAACTCATCTTGCTCAACCGCCAACAAAGATCTTATCAATACTTTATCTCTGAAACATCAATTAAATTCATTTTATACTGTATCTGTAACATTGATAAATGAAAAGACTGAGGATTTCCTAGAGGCTATAAAAATTCTCTGTTCCAGGTTCAAGTACCAATAATCATTATATAATCTTTCACTATAGGACACTTACTTATTTTATTCACCACAGTCTAAAGTATTTCAGTGTCTATGTTTAAGTAAGTCTTGAGCAGTGACAACAAACACCAGATCAATAAACCATGCAGGGCCAACGCTAATCCCTCCACCACTGTTTTAGTGGAACAGCAGACAGATACACCTCAGTCTACCAGCAATATCTGGCAGAATATCATAATCAGAACGTGGTTACAAATTCACTCACATATGTTGGCAACCTAAACCGCTTCACAAAAAACACCCCTCAAACATAAATAAATATATAACTTATATGGAGTACAAGCTTATGCTTCATAGAAGTACAGAAATATATACATCATCAAATCAATGGCTAGGTAAAATAATTACTAGAAAAAAAAATTTCTTCTGCTCCACATGAGGCATCATGACCCAGAAACCCACTTTTTGGACCAGGTATGTGCATCTATTTGATTTTCCAATTCCATACACACAGTTTGCTAACTGAACAAATGCAGTAAACTGAAAAGTCATCTATATGTGAACAAACTTATTTGATTACACAACTGTAAATACTTTATCTTACCTCATGCTCTACAGGGTATAAATTTTGTTCTGAACAGGGCATTTTAACATGTTTGTTATCCCACAAATCCTTGTAGTGAGTTGGAAAAGGTTTAGGCACCTCTCCTTCCTTCAGAAGATCTACCTGCAACACAGAAGGAGAGGGGGGAAAAAGCTCAGACTCTACTTTCAAGTCATTAAATGGAAGAAATAAAAAGAAAGCAAAAACATAGTTATAAAAAAGCTCTCATCTACAGCCACCCTTTTCGGAAAGAGGAAAGCTAGAAACCAACTACGTGATGGGTATTTAATTAGAAAAAAAATCTGTCTGCTACTCTTATGTTATACTTGGTGAAAAGAACACCACCTTATCATTTGACCTCTTGAAACATGCTGAAATACAATACAATTATTTTATGCCCAATTATCAGCTAAATACTTCCTCATTTATGAATCAAAGTACCTACATAGTTTCATCCAAATAGTTTCAAAATGTAATTTCAAGTCTAACCATAGCCATGTGCAGAAATAACACTTTTTAACCTAACACTGGAAAGGATGAGAAATCATTATAGAGATAGCAATATTTCAAGTGTACTCCACGGAATAGCAGAAACGTAAAAATAAGTAACACATGTTCTTAAAGACTTTGTCTGCTATATGGCCTTCTGGCAGCACCAATTCTCTTCAAACTTGCATTTAAACTTAAATTACTTTTCTCTTATTTGCTGCTTATCTATGACCCTACAGGCTTCTGGTCACATATTTTATTTCAACAATAATTTGACTGCATACTACTCCTAATGATTAAACACAAATATATCAGATTTGATCTAAAATGCAGTGGTAAAATTGCTAGAAACTCCTCTTCATTCTCTTTTTCATATCTTGAGCCTTTTTAGTATCTTGAACCCAAAACAGAATCCCATTAAAATATAATGTGAAAATGTTGAATTACACATTTTACTTGCAGACATATTTAAATCCCCACAGTTTACAACTTGGGCTAGGAAGTACACACACTCCTACGCAAAAGAAAAATACTTGTCCCTAACAAGCCAGAGGCAGCAAAACCATATTTACACCTCTTCTGGATCCTAATAACCTAATTCTGTGCATCAGAAAAGTCTATTTTCAGGAAAATCAGTTGCCCCAGTCTGCTTGCAAGGAATGGCAAAGAAAGATTTCCACAGCCTGCTAATACTATAAGACTAACATTTGGCATTTGATATTATTGAACAATTCACTAAGAAATTTGATTTCAGGTAATACACAGAATTATCGTACTCTGATGGTTACTGTATGATTGGCTGAGGGTCGCAGATGAGGAAGACGGGCCCCACACATGGGCATTCTTTTCATCTCTTCAATTGGTGTTCCAAACCATTTCTTATTAGTTGGAAGAGGAGGTGGCACATATTTAGGAATCTTCCTTCCTGGCCTCTGGGGTTTGAATTCACACTTTTCTCTTCTGCTGTTAAAATAAAATACATTGGAACATTTTATTTCCACAAAATACACGAACGTCCACTCCAGGGTTACGTTTATAACAGAGTCAGTTTATTTGCTAGAATTTGCCGTGGCCTCAGGCCAAAGCTTTATTTGGGCAAGACCCCCACCATCAACTACCTGCTTCTCCTCGACACATGAAAGTACATGATGTCTACCAAAACACTCTACAGGCTTACACCTTCACAGAACTGCAGTATGTTAGCAAGGCAGGGTTCTCCTCTGAAGAATCAGGCTCTTTCCCAACAAAATCTCTTTATCCAGGGACAGGAGACAGACCCATTGGTCTGCATTTGTCAGGATAGCCTCTGCAGCCCTTTCTCCACTGTTAGAAAACAAACGTGTGCATGTACAGATGTCCATATTACTTCTTCAAACTTTTAAATAAATAAATAAATAAATAAATAAACCACAACAAAAAAACAAACTTCTTAATCGCCCTTTCTCACTACAGCTGTATTTTTCATGCCGGTCACGTAATACTTGCAATGATAGTAGAAATTTAAGAATAATCAAAAAAAAAACACTTGCAAATTCAAATATATGCAAGAGCAGATGAACTAATCCTCTCTAATGATCAAAGGTATTTGCATGAATCTGAAATGTTTTGGGGAAGAAAAATCTGAACCTGCTGTACATTTGAAGTAACATACCAGATGTTACTCAATGCAAGAGAAAGTTCTCAGAGTAAAATGCAAAACAAGTTAAAAGCCTAAACTTTGAGGTACTGTTTAGACCTCTAAACTGCCCTCATCAAACTTACTCCACCCTTGGATGAAGATGTTGTCCAACCTGTTTGCCATGTCTATGCATATGCCAGTGTCTTCAGGTGCAGACAACGCCTCCAACCTGGCTCATCACATGCAAATGGTGCAGCCACATCAGCGTGACACTGGGTACAGGCCCAGTGTACTCCTCTGAGAACCACAGGATAATTCTGGCATAGCATTACTGATGACTGAAACCTATTTGATACACTGCTCCTTCTTTCTCCAAAGCCAACATCTGAGCCATTACTATCTGCCATAGACATGGTCTAACAAAAACCAAGAAGGAAGCTTTAGTATTTTCTAATTGTCCTCCTGAGTACTATAGGCAATATCACTATTCTGCCTGGCACTGAGGTTTATAACCTCCATATCACGTTAATCAGGCCCCAAAATAAAAAAACAATCTCTCTATAGTCTCATACTCTACCTTACGAATTATTCTGTAAAGCACTGCTAGGATTTCCATCTACCCGCACAGCAAAACTTTTGCATGAGTTTCCCTTCTCAAATATGGATTTATCCTTACATACAATGCCCTAGCACTGACAAATGCAAGCTTCAACCTCTGCTGTTTTGCTACAACAGCAATTAATTTAAATTGGCAAAAAGAGTACTCCCCAAACCAAACATTTTAAACTTTATGACCCCCCCCCCTTTTTCATGAATTTTTAGCAAATTCTTCATCTATCCATTTTTCTTAAGAGTTGCATTTCTTTGTTTTCCAAATCCACCCTCAGCCTACTCATCTCTTAAGGTTTCTCAAATGCAAGCTCCTTCCTCTCTTGCAGCCTTCTTCACTTCCTTGAAAAGCACAGTTTGTGCCGCTGCCGCTCCTCACATCCAGAAAGGACCTCCCAGTAAAGATGTGCAAAACTACTGCCTTGCCTTACTTTAAGGACTGGAATCTACTAAGATAATTGCTTATTACACTGACACACACAGTTCTCCTCCTTCTGCTTACTCCTTTGCTGTTTATTCACTTTCTCAGCTCCCACTGAAATCTAAGCTCTTCAGAACAGAGATTATTCTTTAGTCCCTACACAACATCCAGCATGCTGAGCCCTGGGTCATGCTCAGGGCTTCTATTTCCATTGCTGTAGGGTGTAATCACCAGTCCTCTCTCCCAAGTTAAGAATAAAGCCAAAATAACCCCAAAAAAGCACTCACACACACCTCCACAACTGCTTTCAAAAGTGTAATTTTTCATGTCTGTTTCAATCAAAGCATCAGCCGCATTGAGGCTTCAACAAAACACATTCAGTATTTTTGACAGATGAAACTAAAAAACCCAAGAAAATATCAATTTCCTCAAGTATTCTGAATGAAATAACAAATGCTAGAGTTACACTGCTATAAAGCACTCCTGGACCACCATTCATTTTCGAACATTAAAAATCCCACGGTCTTAAATCACTTCTGTGATAAACGAAATCAACTTCCTACAGTGTCTTTAATTCCCAGTTTTAACATATCCAATTTTAAAATCTCCAGTGACTTAAAAAGTTGCACTGGACAAACATATCCTTTAAAAAAACCCACAAGCAGTCCCTTTAAAATTAAGTTACTTCAAGCTTACATCAAAGCTCTCTTTGTGTCTTAACATACATTTTGCAAAACCCTTTATACAATCTAGCCTCCAAAGTGGAAATTTTTGAGCGTCAAAAGAGATGAAGAGGCAGACAAAACACTACCTTTTCTCCTCAACTTTAGGTATCCTCATGAAATGAGAGGTGATTTTGGAGTCTCGCTTCACACCCTGTCTTGCACCTTTGCATTCTGATGATGGAGCAGGAGAGATCCCAGGTGACTTTGTACGCAGATCGTCCTCTTTAACAGAATTATCTATTTCCTCAAAGCTTTCGGAGCCCTTGGTAGAAAAACGTGGCTTTCTTGACTCCAGTTCAGCATCCCCATATTGAATTCTAAAAGATTTGTTTATGGATTTTGACATACTAATCTCTTCTCGCTCATCAAGAAATGGACTCGTTTCTTCATCAGCCTCTGACCCATGACAGCTATTTTTAGAATTATCTACATCCATTGGTGACTCCAGTTCACTTTCTTTCTCAAAAGCAGGTGAATCCCCTGAACTGCTCGGACATTTGCTCAGTTTTCCAGGACCTCCAAGATCAGATAAACAAGCATCACAACCAGCATCTGAAAGTGGACTTTCTGGAACTACATCCCCTTCTTCTTGTTCACCTATTAAACAGACAGAATTGCAGCTCTTCAGCTTCTGTGAATTGCATGAAGCCACCTGTCCATCTGCCTCGGTGCCTTTTGAGGAAAGTTTTGTATTTCCCATTTTCAAAGACCTGCCTGAGGACAATTTCCTCTGAGTCCAATTGTCACTGCCTTGTTCACTGCCCCTCTGAGCCTGCTTTCCAGTTTTGTGTATCTGATCGATGTTGGCATTTTTGAAGAGGTCTCCCGGCTGTGTCCCCTTCACAGACTCTGTGTCTAAGACTGGATCTTCATCCTCAGCCTCCCAGTTATACATGCTGCCTGTCTGAGGCAAATTTACATGCTTTGCACCAACTTCCACAGATGTTTTTGAATAATTTTGCTGACAAATATTCTCTAGTTTTTTCACATCATGCTCACAAATGTTCTCTTTTTTAATGGAAGTCATCTTGGGATTTGCCTCAGTATTGTTATTAATTTTGCTGTGTAAGCTGTGAAAGAGAAGTAAGGGAATTTAATGTCTTATCTCCTAATGAAATTTCTGTATACATACACATATATTTACTTTGTTTAAAGGAATGATTACAAACATACAATAGATACTACAGAATTTTACCCACTGTACTCTGTAAAGCGAGCACTACCAGGATCAACAAGTTTTACTGTGCTGGGGAATGTAGCTCAGTAGCAACCTACTTCCATTTAAAGGCTCAGAAGGATGATGAATCAGTTGCTTACCTTTGAAATCTTTTCCAATGATTCATTATCCTTATTTTCAAACCTAAACAGTATTAAGCTATTACTTAGTTATTTACCCTAGATGAAAAAAATTTAGAAGTCGTGATAAAGTTCTCCTTAACTTTCAATCAGTTAAAGACAGGGAGCATGGAAATCAGTGGTTTTATAACCATTCCCTCAGAGCTACAAATTCATCTTTTAGAAGAGCAGAACATAGTAGTCTCAAAGCCATCCTATTACCTCCTTACTTTTATAAGCAGCCCATGACTCTCCGAAAAAAAAAAAAAAAAAAAAAAAAAAATCGCAAAAGCAAGAGTAAAATATATTCAGAACTGATAATAAAAATTAGAATACACATTAAATCAATTATTATTTCTAAAGAGAAAAATTTGTTCTGTGCTGTCATACTCGAAGAATGGAAAGATGTGTCCTAACTGTTACACAGGGAAACAAAGCAAGTTTTGTATGAGCAGATGAAACTTTTCAAGATGACACTGGAAAGTCATTTCACACTTAAGTACCAATTTTTGTGTCAGTGTACTGTTAAAGAAAAATACTTAGATGCTATATGAATATTTAAAAAACCTAACTAGTCTGGGTGGATATATCTCTCTGAACAACACCTCCTGAATGTATTGTTACTACACTGTATATAACCAATGCAAACTCAGCATGCTAAACCCTGTATGTCTGATCATTGCCCAGTTTCCCATCACTACATAGGAAAATATGCAATTATCACACAATCTTAAATTCAACAACTGAACATCTTAATAAATTCCTGAAGGTATTAATTCTCTCCATGAACAATGACAGAAAAACAGCACTCTGGATAAAAAGTTAGCATTCATACCTTTACCACTACAGAACAAATAGGAAAAAAAAAAAAAGGGGGCTTAGAGCAACAGATGATAGCTTGGAACTTCACTCATTGGAAGATTATTTGAAAACAACAGGATTTTAGAGGGTTTTATGCTATGACAATTTAACTCCCCATCTATGCGTCTGTTCCTGCACTGAAAATTTTGATGAACAGAAATTAAAGCTATGTTACTGCTGCCATCTCAATAAATGACTGTTTAAAGGCATTGACAACATCTGTTGTCAAGATAGGAAATAAAATCTAACACAGTGTTCAAATTCAAATAAATTAAAATTGTCATGTTAACTGCAATAGAAAGCCACATAAAGTGTTTCCACAGGCTCCTGTGAGCCTGTAATTGAGCCCCGTGTACTTCTCTATTCATCATTATCACAAGCTTTCCTAGCTATTTTAACACTCCTATTGATTCCAATTTCTATTTAACAAACATCAATGAAAAGTACACCAGAACATTTACAACTGCAGTTACCAAAAAAAAAAAAAAAACCAAAAAACAAACAAAAACAGTACCTGGTATTCCTCTGCACCAGATAGAACTAAACTCCTAAGAGTTTAACTGTCTTGCAAACACTGCTCCTGACAGACTACATTAGCAGAAAATATCAAGCTCTACCTGGCACTACCAAGCAGCAGAATTTTTGTAACATCTTTGACAAGATAACCTGAATGCACATTTGAGCATCTGTAAATTCTGGTCCAAACTAAATTAAGTTGCACATGCTTATACCACAATCACAGTCCAATGAGATGAACCAAAACAAACTTCTGTCTGTAAATTAACAACAGAGCCTTGAGTTGAATGCAGGACCATCAGTCAAAATCTGTAACTGTTACTGCTCTACGTTAGACAAAAATAAAAGCGGAGCTGTTGAGTAAGGACATGAGGTCCGGTATTACCGCTAACTCAGCTGAGCGGCGGGCTGCCACGGGAAGCAGCAGTCCCACTGGGCCCTCCCTTCGCTGCAGGTTCCCATCGTTTTCTTTGCCGGAGCAGCATATTCATCCACCCGAACTGCGAGGTGCTTCAGGAAGCCAAGTCACCAAAAAAGTTTGGGCTTGGGGGGTTAGAGGGGTGGAGGACTAGTTAGCTTTTTGTAGTGGAAGTCTGTGAGTTAGTTACACTCAAGGGGATGTGCCAAGGTATGGAAAGCAGCAGAAACTGTTTTTTCCGTAAGTAGCTGTGCTGGCAACCTGCACTTCTGAGTTCCCCACAGGCCCGCTCAAAGAACACAACTTTTGAATAGGTATGCTGTACATTTTACCTTTTGGACTCAGTTGTCTTGGGTCCTTTATTCTCCAACCAAGTGGTAATTGTCCGTTGTTTACAAACTGAAAAACCACAGTTCACTACATTATTACATGAAATATGATAAAACTGCAACATGATTTCATATGAATAAGAAAACTTGTCCTGGATGAAGATAAAAACACCAATTAAGTCCTCATTATCATCACTACTCTGGGGAGCATCCAGACACCGACACTATTAAAACTATTTAATTTGTATCACTCAGCAGCTATAGTTTTTGTAATAGTAAGTGCCACGGTAGGTGTATTGTGGGGTATTTTTTCATCCAACATTTGTTGGGGGGTTTTTTGTTTTGTTTTGTTTGTTTTTTTTTAATATGGTTAAAAACATACAGTGACTATCTAGATTTTAAAAAAAAAAAAAAAAGGCAACTTTCCAGCTCTCATTATCACCTTTGAGTAACACCACCAGTGAGGCCTAAAAGACTTCTGCTGAATTTTGTAATGAAGAGGAAACATGGCATATCTTCAATCAAACAAACAAACAAAAACCTAACTAGACACCTTCGAAGATCCAGCTGAGAACCTTATTTATACATAGCATACTGTGAAACATGAGTCTTAATATAAAACTGTACACATTGGAAGTGACAAGTGCTGAGAAAAGGATTTTTTCTTTTCCCCTCCATTCATAAACAATTTGTAGAGCCTATCAATGCTTACTGTTCTAAACAGCAACAAAATGTGAAGGACGCAATATTTTCAGATTTACTACCAATGACACAGCTCCAGTGAATGTGATCAGTCTTTTATCTCTGATGTTGCAGTTCAGGCAAGCTTTCAGTAGAACAGCAGCATATGAACTGATTATGTAGAGACTTGTGGGGGTAATATGGAGAAAAAACTCAAAGCCAGTTATTTCACAACTGGAAAGTAATCTTCACTGGTATGAGAAGGGGCTTTTAGTTTTGTTGTTATTTAAAGGTAATTCTGAAAATCTGGCAACTAGCTTCAGTTCCCTTTCTTTCCATTTGCCAAGAGAAGCTATCTCCCTGCCACTGCTAACTGGGCAAGGTGTTTACTCGCTGCTTTCAACTGGCTAAGTAAAATTTGTAGTTCCCCTACTGTAACATTAGTTTTGCAGAACTTAAAAACCAGTACAGCACATCTGGCTTTCCTGATTAATAGTCACTACAAAAAGACTCATTGTTTTATTGCAAATTGAGGTTGTGTAACTTGTAGCATAGATCATAGGTAACTTAACAGATGTTGGTTTTAATAAATGCTTTCCCTAGCATTTGAGGCCTTGAACACTTTTCCACAGCTAGTTATCAGATGCCCTCATCAAAAGCACAGATTTTTCTAGAATGAGCAAGTCATCTCCAGAAAACATTTACAACATTTTAAGTTCTTCTGAAACAGCACAAACAGTAGTACAAAATTGCCACCATGTAACCAGGTCACCAGGGAGCAATGCCAAGCTGTTTGTAGATTACAAACACAAGGATACCTGCGCCATGCTCGGCCCTTCAATTTTTCAACAAACACTCAGCTTCACTCCGCTCAAACAAAAATAACAGCTTGATGGATTCCATGAACCAAAATATTTTTATTTCCAAGATTCACTAAAACTGAAGTCTATTAGTCATTCTATTCACCATATTTCACCTTCTTATGTATTTGATGTCTTAACACAAATTGCCTACAGGAAAGGGGAAAGCAGCAGCCAGAAAAAAAAACTTGAAGGGACATGTTAAAACATGGGAAGAACAAACCTCTTCAAAAACAGATGACTACCTCTTGAGGTATAAACTTGTGCTGAAGAAGGAATACTTGTTCATTAGCACGATGAACAGAAATCATATCAGTGGCATCAGAACAGAATGAAATGGCTTTGGTCTGAACTTTAACATCTGACTAGCCATTCAAGCCCTATAACGCACACAGCAGACACCATTCTTCTTTAATGTTACTAACATCTCTCTTTACTACATGCGAAAACATAAGAGGTAACAGAAAGACAACGTATGTTTACATTCAGTGTAAACACTAAAGCCAGACTTCGGTGTACTTTTTTTTTTTTTTTAAGTGGTCTCTAAATTTCTACTGAAGATTCCCCAAACCATTCCCATAAAACAAACCATTCTTCAGAATCTACCACTGAGGAAAACAACTGAGTTTTCATAAGATTCTCATTTATCCTCCATGTAACTTCAAGCTATTATTTCCGGGTTACTGACATTTAATTCATCAACCGAAGGCCATGTCGAATCTTTTGGGTTTTGGTTTTTGCTTTTTTGTCCTTTTCCTTTTTTCCTCCTTCTCTGCTTTCATTTCTAAGCCTGAAACAGGTACTTCATTGTGCATTAAAATTTGACTTTGACAGCGTTAGCTCCAAGTAAAAATAAGTTACGGAAGCCACGTGGGAACTTCCCGCACGCCGCTCCGTGGCGCGGCCGGAGGAGCGCACACACCGCCCACGGCCGCGCGGGCTCCTGCCGCGGACGCCCGGCACGGCACGCCGCCGCAGGTCCTACCTTTGTTCCCCACGGCGGTGGCGGGGCTGCCGCCGCCGGGCCCCTCCTGGCGAGGGCCGAGCGGCGGCCGCTCTCCCTGGGAGCCGCCGCCCGGGCTGGCGGAGCTGGGCCGGGCTCTCTTCCGAGGAGGGTCCCGCCTGCAGCCCGCACTCATCCTCGGCGGGGCCGCCTCCGCCCGCCCGGCTCGCCTCAGCCGCGACGGCCCAACAGCGGCCGCCGGGGCCAGGCAGCGGCAGCCGCCCCCCTGGCGATGCGCGGCGCGGCGGCGGCTCTGCCCCTCCGCATCCTCCGGCCCGCAGCGCCGGGCGGGTCCTGCCGGCTGCCCCCGCCTCCCCCGCGGCGGCGGGGCCGGGGCCGGGGCGCGTCCAGCGAGGGGAGCGGCCGGGAGCTGCCGCCGCTCGCCGCAAAATGGCTCCGCGCCCGCCGCGCCCTCCTCACCATGGCGACCGCAAAATGGCTCCTCCCCCGCCGGCAGGCAGGCAGGCAGGCGCGCGGGCCGGAAAGCCGCGCTGGCGCGCTTTACGGCGGCGAGCCGAGGTCGCAGTTGCGGGCGGCGGGGGGGGGGCCCGGCGGCGCCATGGAGGGCGGCGGCAACTCCAAGGGCACCGGCCTCGGCGGCCTCTTCGGCGCCGGCGGGGTGGGCTACTCCCACGCCGACCTGGCCGGGGTGCCGCGTGAGTACCGGCGCGCAGGGGTGAACGGCGGGGCCTGCGGCGGCGCCCGCCCGCTGGGGGGGGGTGGGGTGGGAGTATCCGCTCCCCGTCAGCCGGGCCGGGCCGGGCCGGGCGGCCGATCCGTGAGGGAAATCAGCACCGCTCCGGCCAAACGCGGCCCCCGAGGAGTCGGGGGCCCTTGCCGGCAGCGGGCCGCGGCTCTCCCAGCCGCCTCGCCCGCGGGAAGCCGCGCTGCCGCCGGCGGCCCCTGCTCGGGGCCTTGGGGGGGGGGGGGGGGGGGGGGAGGGGCGAGGAGGCCGCCACAGCAGCCCCCCGTCCGGGCACAGACGTTGCGTCTGTCCCACCCGCCCCGCTCCCTAAAAATAGGGTTGGCAGGCGGGGGTCGTATTTTAATCAGCTGTGCCACTTAACGGCGCGGTTTTCGCTGCCTCCATGCACGTGGTCTGCCCCACTTTTAACTTACGGGATGTGAAATTGTTAGTAGGAAAAATGGTGTTAATCTATTCTGGTTTGCCTTTTTTTTTTCTTTTCTCCTTTCAGTAACTGGAATGAGTCCTTTGTCCCCATATTTAAACTTGGACCCCAGGTACCTAGTACAGGTGAGAAGGCAACTTGTTTTTATTGTGTTGAACTCAATTCCGTTGTTTGTATGGCCATGTGCGAGGACCTCAGAAATCCTGCAGTGCTGTGCAGTGTGTGCTGAAGTCTTGAACTGATGAACAATTGAAAGAAATTATTTTCTCAGTATGGTTCCTAGTAAAAGCTTGCAGTGCCATGGCATCTAAGAGGAGAAACCTAGTTTTAATATAGAGGATGAGTAAGACTGTTGTGTCGCTATAAGCCTGTTGCTATTGGAGAGAGGAGGTCTCCCTACTCCGAGGCATACAGCCCCAGTGCACCCTTGCACAGGTTCTGGCGTTCATCATGCCCTCCGCTGAGCCCCTTCGATCAGTGAGAGCAGCCAGGAGCTCTCCACTCTTTTGATGGGCTCACTTTCTGTACTGTGATGAGTTTAGTCAGTTTACAGAGGTGCTCGGCTAAACCCCAGACCTGATACAGGCTTTGTCATCACAGCAGCAGCAAATTTCACCCCGCTTTCCTTATGCCGTTTCCCAGCTGAAGGGAGACCCCCATCATAAAGTAGAGCTTTCTGTTTTATTCTACAGAAAAACGTACCCTTGGTACTCACAGAGCTTAATATTAGTTAACATAACGTGATGGCCTGTAGGCCACCACAAGGAAAATAAAATAATTTAAAATCCTATAATGTTTCCCTTTCTCAGCAATATTTACTATAGCTGAAGAGGTTTACGTTAATCCCATAAGGGTGCACGTCTTAATGATTTTATGTAGTTACTGTTCTATGCATTTATATGAATTCTATTATCTGAGAACATTAAATTTTGCCAAGTAGCACTGAAAGTCAAGAGTTGTATCTGCTAATCTGTATGCTTTTTGTTTCATGGTACACTGAGTCACTGCTTCTTTTGTAAGTGGAAAGCTCTGAATGCAGTTCTGGGGGCTGCTTTTTATATTTCTCATTCACTAGGAGCTGTAGTAGTTAAGATTACAACATAACATTCCCATAATGGTAGAAAACAGGGGATGCACCTCTTTTTGAAGTGGGTTCACTAGCATGGTTATCTTGCCTGCTGTACTTGAGTGGTCAAAACGTTGCTAAGTGATTATTTAGAGACCTCTTCCGAACATACCTGCTAAAGTTGTCCTGTTTAGTTAGTATGGAATACATGGGAACACAGAATCACAGGATGGATTGGGTTGAAGGGGCCTTAAAGATCACCTAGTCCCATCCCCTGGCACCAGCAGGGCCCCCTTCCCCCAGCCCAGGGTGCTCCCAGCCCCGTCCAACCTGGCCTTGAACCCTTCCAGGGAGGGGGCAGCCACAGCTTCTCTAGGCACCCTGGGCCACTGCTTCACCAGCCTCACAGTGAAGAATTTCTTCCTCATCTAATCTAAATCTACCCTCTGTCAGTTTAAAATCATTACCTCTCATCCTATCACTATACACCTTGATAAAAGAGTCCCTTCCCACATTACCTGTAGCTTGTTGCCTTGGGATTGCCCTGACCCATGTGCCCTTGGCCTTGTTGAACTCCCTGAGGTTTGCCTGGGCCCCCCTCTCCAGCCTGCCCAGGTCCCTCTGGATGCCATCCCTGCCCTCCAGCGTGTCACCCACCACACAGCTCGGTGCCGTTGGTTGAACTTGCTGAGGGTGCACTCAGTCCCACATATTGGTGTTAAAGATGGTATAACGATTTTTGAAAGAATGTGTATATACTAATAAATTTAAAAATTAAAAAAAACCCTTCCTTTAAAAGAAGAGGAAGCATTGGCATTAGCGTCATGAGTAACTTATAAAATAGTTCTACAAATACCTGTTGACGTAACACCAGAGGCTGCAGTTTCTGTTGGAACAGTTCATGTCTCTATGTATAGCACTGGGAAGTATATTGAAATAAAAGGGAATTCCATTTAAATGTGAGAAATTTTTTTTTTACTTGAACAAGTTGCCTGGACAAGCTGTGGGGTCTCCATCCCTGGAGGGGTGCAAAAACCCAGTACAGGCCTGAGCAACCAGCACTAGCTGACCCTGCTTTGAACAGGGAGTTACACTAAACACACTCCGCAAGTCCCTTGCAACCTGAACCATTCTGTGATTCTAAAAATTCAAGGGAGAAGGCATAGATAATATTTTAAAATGGAAGAACTTAAATTACTTGCCTTTAAAATTGGTTTGTGAAAGTGTGTGAGTAGGGGTAAGGGACTCCCATATCTAAGACCATGCATTTGCTTTCAGAATGCAGAGAGAAAGTCACCCTTATTGCTGAGAATCTTACATTTTGATCCTGACCCTCCCGTAATAACAAATGCTACAGCGGTATTCGTGACTTTAAAACCCACTTTCTTTGTTAGTCCATTAGTGCAGGCACAAAACAATGTGCTTTCTCTGCAGTGCTTTTATTACCTTCAGCAGGTATCCATTCTAAAATAGCATGCTAGCTGTTGTCACAAACCTAGAGGATGGGCTTCCTAGCTTGTTGTCTCTAAAGAAATATAGAGGTTGCATACAGACAGTGATTGCTTCGTCCTGACGTTTTGGACAGTGGTGAAAACTGTAAGAGTCTGCTAACTAGTGTAGGCACTGAATTTCTCCAAATAACTAGTTACAGGAAAGATAGAAACCATATTATACATTCAATTATTGATAAAGTGTTCACAATTTTAGCAGTTGTATATTTTTTATGTATTGCCATTCACCTTTAGCACCAAGAATAGACTAAGGAAACCCCTTAGAATGCAATTACTTGAGCCTGCATTTGTTACTGTCATATATCAGTTAAATAGAGGGTGAATAATACCATGACTGGAAAGCACAGAAGCATAAAAAGAGATTATCACTTTAGCACCTTATCAACATGTGTGCATCTTGTCATCATCTCATATTGAAAAAGTGCTTTGGCACCCACCTTATCTCTGCACATATGCTAATTATCAGCCTATTTCTCTGGCCTTTTAGACCAATTTGATTTATGAGAACACAAGCCTGTCCCCGTGGGAGAAAGATGTGTGAGTAAAGAAAACTATAGCCTTGCATCTTTCATGCCTGATCACCACTGGTTTTGAACATACTCTTTGCTTTTTTTTATGTTTTCAAAATAGGTCACTTAGTACAAGGAAATCCTTCTTTAGGTACAAAAGTGGTTATTCTTTAGTGTCAGGGTAATGGGAAACCTTAATGCATTACTGCATCAGTATAGGTTGCTCAGCAGGGAAACAGTGCTGCATAATCAGACAACAGGAATGTTTTTAGAGGGCAGGAAGTCTTGTATTGCCTGCTGCAAGATGTGATAAATAATGAAGCAAGTAGTTATTTTAAAAAAGGAAGGAAAAGAAAAAACAAAACAAAACAAAACACTACCACCAACAGCCCACACAGTAAGAGTTCCTTGACTGCCTGATGCAGTTCATAAAAAGTTAGGACAGCTAGGGAAAAAAAAAAGCTCTCAGTCAGTTTATCTTTTTTAAGTCTTTTTTCATTCTTCTTTAAGTATACACATAGTATATTCCATCTCGATGCTAGTGTAAACAACAGTTTTCCAGAAACACTAGTTGTATCTGTCTTTTCTTTAGTTCACTGTATAGATTAAAGAAAAAAAAATCAGAATGACCTATATTTTGAAGCAGGTACACTTGGAAAATACAAAAACATTTGTTTTGTTTTGGTTTTCCCCAGGATACAGATGAGTTTATCTTGCCCACAGGAGCCAACAAAACTCGAGGCAGATTTGAGCTGGCCTTTTTTACTATTGGGGGATGTTGTATGACAGGTAGGTGGTCGTGTTTTTCACTTTTCCCAGCAGTCCAGGTAACACCTGTGTACTGCAGTAATTGATGAGGTTGTAAATGTCTTGCTTTACAGTCTGGTCTTACATAAACAGCTATTTGACTTCAGTCTATGCACTGAAGTCTATTCTCAATATTTGCTTCTAGTATTGTTCTTTTTGTTCCTTTTTCTTCTTAAAAAAGTAATACCTGATATTATGCTAACTAGGAGCAACATTTGGTGCGCTGAATGGTTTGAGACTTGGCTTGAAGGAGACGCAGAACATGGCATGGTCAAAACCTAGAAATGTACAGTAAGTGTTTAATCTCAAAAAAAAGTACACTTTAGTGACAGAGCTGTTTCTTCTAGCTTCTACAAAGTTAGAACCGAATATACTGCAAAAATAAATGTATTTTTGTGTCCTTATTGGG